TAACACACTGGCTGAACCTCGCATCAAGGAGGAATTAATCTTTCGGTCCTGCGGCAGTGTCATCCGTGACAAAGAACACGAATTCCGTGCTATTTGTATGAGTCTTCTCGCCTCACTGGCAGTAAGGACCGAAAGCTGCCCTTCTGGCTTCTAGCTTACCAATTTACCTTACCAGACAATTTGGAATAATTTTAGAAGCTCATTGACCGATTTACCTCAAGGAAGTCTGTCTGAACTGGATAAGCCAAGACGTCAGTAGTAGTCTATCATCTAATTAACGGAAATGTTTGCATCATGTATAAATAGCCCATAATTGCTGCTGTTTCCATTTATGACCACCAATGCGTAACGATATACTGAATCTATTGTATAGTTAGTAGACTTTTGGATACAGTCAGATTTTTAAGTGACATCAGCTCAGCTTGAATATGCAGTGAACATATTTTCGTCTACGATTCAATGGCTATGCAAGTCTCACTCACTACTGGGTCGACGAACCATTTGAATTGAGGTCATTTATCCAGTTTGCACATAAAGCTACATAAATGGTATAAAAACGAGAATTAACTCACTTTCGATGTCCTCGCATTTTCTTGTTTCCTTCGGGCAGTCCTTCAGATTACATTTCTGATATCTTACAGACAGTGTATTTTTTCCGGAGCAAAGACTCCACGCAGTCCATTGTTGTGTGATTGGCTGATCGAGCAACTGTCGTCGTGTGAGTTCCACTTCGATGTTTATGCTGTCATCGGGTAGAACTACTGAAAGAACACATTTAAAAAAATTTTAAATTAATCGGCATATTAGCAAAGTGTCACCTGAGTGACATCCATCCTCGAAATACAAAACAGCCGTTTTTGGCTCGCTCGACAATGCTTCGCTGTGAGTCAGACTGCTTTCGCTGTTCAGCACACATTGTTTTGTCTACAAGGGTCAAAATCAACCATAAGACCCAGTGATCGCCGCTCTTCACTAACCGCAAAGAAGTACATCCCTGATTTGCAGGCAGATGTTGATATGCCATTCTTTTTGAAGCACTTCGACATGCATTCGTTGTAATTCGATGCCGGTACCACTTTCTGGGCGAATCCAACCAGCATCGTCTGAAGTTTTCCAAGCACCATCGGCTTACCGCATTCAGTGCTGTAGGCTGAAAACAGTGGTAAAGACGATTTGTAGCGTGCCATTGCATCACCCACCTGACACACACAGTACGACACCGTATTCAGAATTACGGGACGGAACTGCGGAAGTGAAATCTGCGACCTGCTTATCACTGAGGCGACATCCGTTCTCGTTGTAAACCACGCTTTGGCACGGCCCCTGCAGACCCAGCGCAATTCCGCGGTAATATTTCTGCATTGTCAAATTTTTAAACCACTGGTTTGGAACAGTTAGCGCTTACCAGGTTATTTCTACAGACGGAGAAACACGCCTCTTTAGACATGTGAGCAATAAGCCTTCCTGTTAGGCTTTTGTCATCATAATTTTTCAGAGATGCAATCCAACGTTTCTGGCCTTCTGCGCAGCTCTGTTGCACATCAGTTGTTGCGACTATGGTCGGTTGTTGGCCGTACGAAGGTGAATGGACATTTTCTATGGCTTCTAGAGAGTGTTCTTCTTCAACCAACGTTGGAACGAATGTTTGTTGCGCAATTGAAATTGAGGCAGATGGCTGTTGCGTGACTGACTGACTTGGAACGGTCATTATTTCAGGCTTGATAACTGAACAGATGCCGGTGGGGCTAGAAAAGAACGTCATTCGAATGCTGCCAAAACTGCCTGTAAATCTCATAGAGATCATAACCATTTCTTTATTCAACAAAACTACGTTCAATCCCTCAACGTGACTAGGAGGCAAAATTCTCCTCTCCCTTTCACAGCGCCAAAAACAGTACGGTATCGTTACTTACACAAAATGGGAGCATGTGCTCGAGTGGACCAAGTTGTACTGTTTCTTGTCAGATACTACAGCGTGAAGGTCGCAGGTCCGATAGAAGAAGTCGTACGTTACGGATTTGCAGGTGTAGTGAAACTTGGACGCGAACCACTTCCGGCATTCGTCCAGACACTGGTCGCAGGTTAGGCCAGCGCGACGTTCGAATGGAGTCGAACCAGCGATGTTAGTCGTTGGATTGTGCTGGAA